TCATTTTTACACACACACACACACACACACACACACACACACACACACACACACACACACACACACACACACACAGCTGTCCAGAAGACATTGCATTAAGTGAAATGATGATCTTGTAGAACTCCACTGACTAACGATCCCAGTTACGTCTCTAACCTAATTTTCTTTTTCGGCTAATCTGCACCTTCATTGAGGAAAGGCAGCTTTTTTCTCTTAAGCAATGAAAACATTTGCTATAGTGTGTCTGTATAAAATGATTTATCTCCCAAAAAACACAAGTAAAACAAATGCACACTCAGATGGTGCGTTAAAATGAAACCAAGGACAGATTATGTGCTTGGCGAGATGTGGAGAATTAAATTCGCTTTGAGGTTGGATGATTAATATGGGTCAGGGGTGATAATCTGATTAAAATGCAGCCACAGCGTGTGCTGATTGACTATAGATGATGATGTGGATGGGAGCTGAGGTTTCCCAGGAACAGACAGGGTCAACTCAATTCACTGAATTAGCCTTTAACACTTTCCTGGGTCCAGTTTTAAAATGCGTTACATTGCAAGCATTCTGCAAGGAATATCTAGTCAATTCTGAAGTGTGTTTCTGTGTTAGAATTATAATAAATGACTATCTTACCTGCTCTAGACACGTAGCTTCCTGAACAGTTTGTTCTGGGTAAGAGTTTAGGACTGATGAGCTAACGGCTTTTCCGAGTTCAGCCAAGACCTAATGCTACCATTTAAATACAGCTCCAGTCTCATAACGGTCTATGCAATGTTTTTATAAACCTTTGCACCACAGCCAGGTTGGCTTTTAAATAATTGCTTGAGTGAAATTCTGGGGGTGATCATGAGTATCAATAACACCACCACATGTGATGCATCCAAGTTTGTCAGGAAATGTTTAACCCTTCTGCTGAAGTATTCCTGTGATGCAAAGGTGAGGATGAAGTGAAAGGTTTGTGAAAGAATGTTCGCATGAAACACAATCAGTATGGACTAAATGGATCCAACTCCAATAAAAGACATTTTAAAGTGGCAGTGTGTAGTTTCCTGGTGCAACAGGGCAGTACATAGATTTCAGGGTAGTTTTACAACATGTTCACCGTGACTGTTGCTAGTTTTAAAAAAAAACATTACATTAAATGTTGTTACATGTGGAGCAGGAAGCTTGCAACTTCAGCGTGACTAATCCGACTTTGATGGTCTTTCAGTAAATTCCATCAAAAGAAGTAATGCATATTGTAGTTGTCTGGCTCTGTAAATTCTGAATCTGCTCGGGGTCCTGCGTCTGCCGATTATGTCATCATACTACATCAATACCGTAATATCTATTTTTTTAATTCTGTTCTTTCACAAATGTTTTGGAAAGAATTTAGCAGTTGTGTCATCATATCCATGTTTCTTACTGCCTAACTGTTTTTGAACGCGGTAACGTTGTAAAGTCGTATATCCAGCCCATCATCTAGTGTGTAGTCATCGACTGGCACTGGACCCCAAGCCAGCCAGAAGGAAACATGGCGTCTAATATGACCCCCCCACCACCACCACCACCACCCACCACACCTACCACCCCCCAAAAGATGATAGACCCGCACACTATGTACTGTGGACCTGATTTTTTATGGTTATAAGTTACGAAGCCGCCAATATCTTTCAACAACTGGACATCATTTTATTCATTTTCAACAACATTTTGTTGGGTTTTTTTCCCAGACATTAACAGTAAAAACACATTTTCTCTAAAACAAAAGCAAACCACTTTGATCTTGGCTACATGCACACTTATGAGGAAGTTAACTCTATTTATCAGAACAGAGGCTGTTCAGTAAGCCATCCACAACATGTAGATTTTCCACAACATTTAAGAAGTTTATCTTTCTAATTTAAACAACCATATTCATATTTTTACAAATGTTAAATGTTGTGAATTTAATTAGTTTTGTTTCATGAAGAGATGCATTGCAGAGTGGAAGATGCATAGTCAAGTCTAGTTTTTCTGCCAGTTGCCATGCTGTCTGTGGGGAAAAAGGACCAAAAAATAGCTCAAGATGTGCATAGAGTTAGCATGTAAATATTTCACTCACACTCTTGCTCAGATATGAATTTTAGGGAGCTGAAGGATCGATTTTCTATCGGTCTGAAACCTTCCATGAAACAAAAATCCCAGTTTTTCCATTTCTGGTGAGAAGACATCATTAAGAGAACTGAAATGTTGAATCCAGACAGAGCTAATATAGACGTGCATTTCCTGTTCAAGAGGAAGAACTGTAATGGTCGATAGTTTTCATGTTCTGTCATCTGTCAAGTTGTCTGGTCCAGCTGGAGGCAAAAAGTTTAATCATCTTGATCTGTTGTTCTAGAGCAGGGATTCCCAAAGTGTGGTGCGAGCTGCCGCTAGGGGGTGCGCGAGGTGAAAAGTGTAATGGCTGCGGAGCTCAGAGAAGTCTGTCATATGTCACCATTAGCATAGAAACTCATTTGTGGGCGGGCCAAAGAAAAAGTAAGTGGGCACAATAAATGTAATTGAAAACAAGTATATTTTTGCGCGCGTATGTCCTCCACATGTGCCCTAGCTTCATAATAACAATGCGCCGAGCTTCAGCACTCTGGCCTGCGCACGCCGATATGTTCCGTATT